AGTGAGCTGCAGGGGAAGTGTTGCACGTGTGAGGTGTTGTCTACCAGGGATGCTCGTTAGAGGCTCAGCGCCCAGCGCTTTTCTTGGCAGCTGGCAGCGCAGGCACACTGCCTGTTGCATCCCAAGTTCCCAGCTCCCAGAAGGAAAGTGAGCATTTAGCATGAGCCGTGTTGCATGAAACCGTTTAGGACAGTGAGCCGGTCATATCAGGGAGTGGCAGAGGCCCTTCCAAAGCCTGAGCTCCCAGAAGCCAACCAAGGGCTAGCCGTACAAGAAGGCCTTTCTTTTTCATATTGATAGTTAGGTGCTTTCTAAATTAATTTTCACGCTACAAAGGAAATAAATTATATTTATAAATTCACTTATAAGTGGTAGGAGTAGGGAACTATTTTACAAGCAGTTCAAGTAAAGTACATTTTATATGTACGGACAGCATATCAGTGTTTCAAAACCAAACAAGTAACATAAATTAACTTACATTTGAATATCTGTATTTCAAAATGTGAATGTTTCCATGATGTAGTTTTTTCTTAATATGAAAGTTCTTATGAACTTTTTATCTCTACCACAGAAAAATATTAAATATAACTAGTAGGTTGTGCTTGTGTAAATATTCCTATTATTTACAGATCTAAAATAAATTGAATCTTCAAGATGAAAGAAAAGAAATGCAACTATAATTAGGTAACTCTAAAGGATTAGAAAAACGTATCTCGAAAGATGCAAACAGAAAAGAATCAGGAGCTGATAACATAACACCAGACAAGGTTACATTCCACTGCAGAACATTTATACATTGGGCAAATAGTGCCATTTCTTTTCTTTTTTTCAGAGAGAGATTTTTGCTGTAGGGTGCGTGTGCTCACAGGAGAGATAGAGACAGAAAGCAAGAAATCACCCCTCAGGGAGGATGGCCACCTCGCAGTCCCTTCTCTTCCATTCTCCTCTCGGGATCTTGGGCATGCATGCACACGCGCCCGGCATGAGTTTTAAGCCACCAGGTCTGGGATGCGAACCGCGGTCGACTACGTGGGAGTCCAGCGACATAGCCATTACGCTAACTGCTGGTTCCCTACAATTTTGTCACAAATACGCAACTCTGACAATGTGTCAATAAACTTGTACAGCTATGCACCAATAAAACTTTATTACAAAAATAGAGTTGGAGTGGGTTTACCTACTGTTTGTAGTCTGTCTGCTGTTGTTCTTTTTGGAGGGTGGGAGTAGACAAAGTGTCATGATCTTTTTTTTTTTTTTTGAGAGGTTTTCACTATAGGGCGCGTGCGCTTGCCAGGCAGAGAGAGACAGAGAGACAGAAAGCGAGAAATCACCCCCCAGGGGGGGTGGTCATGCCGCAATCCCTTCTCCTCCATTCTCCTCTCGGGATCTTGGGCACGCACGCACACGCGCCCAGCGTGAGTTTTAAGCCACCGGGTCCAGGACGCAAACTGCGGTCGACTACGTGGGAGTCCAGCGACATAGCCATTACGCCAACTGCTGGTCCCTGTCATGATCATTTCTACAAGAAGGCCTTTCTAAGGAGCGCAACTATGGGCTGGCTAGGTCAACTTATATGCATGGCTTGAATAGTACCTTGGTGCTGAGGCACTGCTATGTAAGATGCTGTATAGTCTCTGTATGTGTTTATTGCCTGCACCTTCTATTAAGAATGTTAGCTTTGTGGGGCCAGCAGGTGGTGTAGTCACTAAGGCACTGGCCTCCCACATAGCCAGCTTCGGTTCGAGTCCCAGACCCAGCAGCTTGAAACTCAGACCAGTGCGTTTGAGTGCGTACCCAAAATCCTAAGAGGAGAATGGAGAAGAGGGGATTGGTGTGGCATCCCCCCTGGGGAGTGGTTTCTCACTTTTTCTCTCTCTTTCTTTCTCTGTGTCTTCAGCAATTGCATAGCAAAAATCTGTCTCTAAAAAAAAATAAATAAAAAGTGGGAACCAGCAGTTAGCGTAATGGCTATGTCGCTGGACTCCCACGTAGTTGACCGCGGTTCGTGTCCCGGACCCGGTGGCTTAAAACTCACGCCGGGCGCGTGTGCTTGCGTGCCCAAGATCCCGAGAGGAGAATGGAGGAGAAGGGATGGCGGCGTGGCCATCCCCCCTGGGGGGTGATTTCTCGCTTTCTGTCTCTATGTCTCTCTCTGTCTGTCTGGCGAGCGCACGCGCCCTACAGTGAAAATCTCTCCAAAAAATAAAAAAATAAAAAGTAAGCTTTATGAAAACGGATTTTTGCCTGCTTTGCTTATTGCCAAGCTCCCGCCCCTAGGCCAGTACACGAGACGTGGAAGCTTCTCCGTGATATATGGTGCGCGGATACGCGAGTGCTCAAAGACGGGGAGCCTAACGTGGTTAGAGCAAAGAGAGCCTTGCAGAAAGGTGGGGAGTGTGGTACTGAGCAGACGGGGTCAGAGCAGGGACCCTGTAGGTCTGAGGAGGGGGTTAGGCCAGAATGATTTTTTTTTCCTTTTTCTTTCTTTCTTTTTATCTTTGCCAAAGGATGTATGCACTCACTGGAGAGAGACGAGGGAAAGTGAGAAATAAGCCCTGGTGGTGGGGGTGGCCACCCCGCAACACCTTCTCCAGTGTTCTCCTCTTGAGATTTTGGGCACACATGCACACGTGCCCGATATGATTTCTTTCTTTCTTTCTTTCTTTCTTTCTTTCTTTCTTTCTTTCTTTCTTTCTTTCTTTCTTTCTTTCTTTCTTTCTTTCTTTCTTTCTTTCT